TTTTCCAATGTAATGAAAGGTTTCTTTTTTGACAGGCAGAGTGGACAGTGAGAGAGAGAGAAACAGAGAGAAAGGTCTTCCTTTTGCCTTTGGCTCACCCTCCAATGGCTGGTGCATCGCATTGATCCAAAGCCAGGAGCCAGGTTCTTCTCCTGGTCTCCCATGCGGGTACAGGGCCCAAGGACTTGGGCCATCCTCCACTGTACTCCCGGGCCATAGCAGAGAGCTAACCTGGAAGAGGGGCAACCGGGACAGAATCCGGTGCCCTGACCGGGACTAGAACCCAGTGTGCCGGCACCGCAGACGGAGGATTAGCCTATTGAGCTGCGGCGCCGACCATGAAATGGTTTTCTTGTTTTATTCCAGTAGGTTCAAAGTTTCAGATCAACATTTAGAATTTTAATCCCTTTTCAGTTGATTTTTGTACATTTGAGATAGAAGTCTAGTTTCAGTCTTCTGTATGTGGATATTCAATTTTTCAATCTCCATTTATTGAAAATAACTATCCTCTTTCCAATGCATGTCCATAGGACCTTTATCAAAAATCAGTTGTCTGTATGTATATGTATTTGCTTTTAGATTCCCTATTCTGTTCCTCTGGTCTGTGGATCTGTTTTGGTGGAAGTTCTGCACTGTTGATATAAGATAAGAAAGTGTTCTTGCCTTTTGTAATTAATATGCCTGCCTACTTAAAAAATAGGGACATTCATATTTTTATAATAAGTCCAATAAACTTACCTCTATAAATTAAATGAACATAGAGCAGTATTCTGAGCAAATGGTCTGTTACAACTTGAATGTTAAACTGGTAATCTGAGTGGTCATAATGGCAAGAAATAGCAATCCACTGAAAATGCCATTAGGGAACTTTTATAAGATGAAAAATATCTACATTAAAGACAGAAAATAAAACTCAGATATTTTGAATTTTTATTCAGAGCTAAAATTGCTTGCAAATTTTAAATAATGAAATATATAATTTAATCTTTTAAATGCATATTAAAATTTTTCTCATGTGAAATAAGAACTTAGCTTCATTTGCCATTTTTATTAGTTTCTTCTTGCTAGTGTGGTTTTCTTGGGATTTTTTTCCCCTTAACTTTAAAATTTATACCTAAAATGGAAGTTGATTTCAGAAAACATATCCTGAAAAACATAGCTATGGCTTTCCCTAGGTAGTTTTATGGAAGAATAATTAAAATATATTAAGTTGATTTTGCTTATTTTTTGCCCAGTAAAGAATCATTGGCTCTATTGTTTAAGTGTTGTCATCTCCTGTTGTAATTCACATTTTATGAAGGATAGCATTTCTTTAAAATAATGAATATGTATAGAAACAATTCTTTCTTTACTGAATCTTTATTCTCTGGTTAGAATAATACACCATTGTAATTTCTCTCCAACTTAGATTTAGTTTTAGTGATGAGTTGATAAAAGCCAAATCACATATAATTTGAATGAAGAGAAGGGATACACTTGTAAAAGTTTCATTATTATAACAATAACTGGTTGAAGTAAATTCTTATAAATTTTAAATATTAATTTAAATATTAGTATTGGTCTTACAAAGATTCAAACTTGTCCTCAGAGAAAAAAGTAAGGTGTTTTTTAATAAGACAGAAATTTACAAAGATCAGTATTCTACTATACATGAGATGAACATCTTTCCTTTGAATCAGCAACTTAACACATAAAGCTGGAGATATGACGTATACCTCAGCAGTTAACATTTTAGGACAGGGCCTTGGTCTCATTCACCTTTGTGTCCTCAGTACATAACCGCAGACCTGGCTGGCGCTGTGGCTCACTAGGCTAATCGTCTGCCTGCGGCACCAGCAAACCAGGTTCTAGTCCCAATTGGGGCGCCGGTTCTGTCCCAGTTGCTCCTCTTCCAGTCCAGCTCTCTGCTGTGGCCCAGGAGGGCACTGGAGGATGGCCCAAGTCCTTAGGCCCTGCACCCGCATGGGAGACCAGGAGGAAGCACCTGGTTCCTGGCTTCTGATCAGTGCAGAATGCCAGCCGTAGAGGCCATTTTGGGGAGTGACCCAATGGAAGGAAGACCTTTCTCTCTCTTTCTCACTAACTCTGCCTGTCAATAATAAATAAATAAATAACCGCGGACCTTACATATATGAAGAGAATGAGTGAAGTGAAAGAATAGAAGAAATAATGTCGGACTTCCTTTAAAAATAGCATCTAGGCTGGTGCTGCGGCTCTATAGGCTAATCCTCCGCCTGTGGCGCCGGCACCCCGGGGTTCTAGTACCAGTTGGGCCGCCGGATTCTGTCCCAGTTGCTCTTCTTCCAGTCCAGCTCTCTGCTGTGGCCCGGGAAGGTAGTGGAGGATGGCCCAGGTGCTTGGGCCTGCACCCGCAGTGGAGACCAGGAGGAAGCACCTGGCTCCTGGCTTCAGATCGGCGCAGTGTGCCAGCCTCAGCGCGCTGGCTGTAGCAGCCACTTGGGGGGTGAACCAACGGAAAAAGGAAGACCTTTCTCTGGTCTCTCTCTCTCTCACTAACTCTGCCTGTCAAAAAAAAAGTAGCATCTATATATGAAGTAAAAAGCTCCAAAAAATCCATTCTTAGGATCACATGATGTTTTTCTAATTCCCCCACATTGATGTCTGTCCTCTGTAAACTCACTGGCTCTAACACAATATCTAACATATGAAATGCATTATTATTTATTCTCTTGGATGTTTTTTTTATATTGCTAATTCTTACCGTTAAACTATTACATCTTTTTTTTTTTTTTTTTGACAGGCACAGTGGACAGTGAGAGAGACAGAGAGAAAGGTCTTCCTTTTTGCCGTTGGTTCACCCTCCAGTGGCCTCCGCGGCCGGCGCACTGCAGCCGGTGCGCCGTGCTGATCCGATGGCAGGAGGCAGGTACTTATCCTGGTCTCCCATGGGGTGCAGGGCCCAAGGACTTGGGCCATCCTCCACTGCATTCCCTGGCCATACCAGAGAGCTGGCCTGGAAGAGGGGCAACTGGGACAGAATCCGGCGCCCCGACCGGGACTAGAACCCGGTGTGCAGGCACCGCAAGGCGGAGGATTAGCCTAGTGAGCCACAGCGCCGGCCAATATCTTCTTAAAAGTATTTAAAAATTTTAGATTAACATGTAATACTTGTACATTTTTATGGATATACATCAACATTTCAACACATACATAGCTTAAACTGACCATACCAGGAAACCAACATTTCCATATTCAGAAAACAACCTTTCCATTTTCCTATCCTTTCTTTGTGTTTATAGCACACCAACCACTCTGTTCTTGTTCTATAGAGATTATTATAGATCATCATGAGCCATAATAACTCCTTGAAAGTGAATTTTACAAAATATTTTTAAATTATTTATTAATTTTCATTTTACTTGAAAGGCAGGCACACAGAAATCTTCCATCTGCTGGTTAACTCCCAGAATGTCCACAGCAGCCAGAGCTGGGCTAGGCAAAAACCAGGAGCCCGGAATTTAATCCAGGTCTCCAGTATGGGTAGCAGGGGCACAAGTACTTAAGCTAGCATCTATTGCCTACCATTGGCCATTACCAAGAAGCTAGAGCAGAAGCAGAGGACAAGGGGCCGGCTATGAGGGAATAGGTTAAGCCTCTGCATGTGGAGCCAGCATCCCATATAGGTGCTCGTTCGAGTCCCAGCTACTCCACTTCTGATACAGCTCCCTGCCAAAGCCTGGGAAGGCAATAGAAGATGGCCCCTGAACCCACAATGGAGATCTGGAAGAAGCTCCAGGCTCCTGGCTTCAGATCAGCCCAGCTCCAGCCGTTGTGGCTATTTGGGGAGTGAACCAGAGTATGAAAGACCTCTCTTTCTATCTCTCCCTCTCTCTCCCTCTCTGTAATTCTGCCCCTCAAATAAGTAAATAAAAATTAAAAAAAAAAAAAGTAGAGGAGCTGAAACTTGAGCCAGACACTACAACATGAGATGCAGGTGTCCAAGCGGTCTCCTAATCTACTACGCCAAATGCCCATCCTCAAAATTTTTATAACTTCCAAAATTCTGACACAAAATAAAATTACATTGAGTCAAAGATGACTTTTATAGATTTTTTTCTTTTACCTTAAAGATAGGTACTTCATAGATATGTATTAGGAGGTACTTAAAGAATAGTAAATAAAATTCCCTGAAAGACTCTAAAATTATAATGGATGTTCCTACTGTTTATTCTTTAGTACTTCATTTAGGACAATAATCATTAAATTCCAAATTAGTATAGTTATGCATGCTACTAACATTATGAATTGTAGACTATTGGAGGTTTTATGAACAATACCTCTAAGACAAGCATTTTTTACAATATTATATTATCCTTAGGTAAGCAAGCATTAGAATTTTACTGACTGCAATTTTGGACAGTTTATAATTGAAACTATTATATATAAAAATCAGTAAGATTTCATTAGTATTACCTAAGAGTTTATATCTTATTAGCCATGAGGAATTTTTGGTTTTGAAAATAGACAACTTTGTTTCATGGGGATATTGTTCCCTCCTGCTATACACAAAAACAGCCCCCTAAATAAAAAACAGCTACACATTTGCTAGCAAACATGAGCTTTTCCCTCTGCTCCTCACCCCTGGCTTATAGCTGAAAATAAGTGGTACATCAGCTATTTAAAATTCTTTAACTTAGGGGCCAGTGTTGTGGTAGAGCACAGCCATATGGGAACTGATTTGTGTCCAGTTCCCTCACTTCAAATCCAGCTTCCTGCTAATGGCCTGGGAAAAGCAGCAGGAGATGGCCCAAGTTTTTGTGCCCTTTCTCCCCACGTAGAAGACCCAGAAGAAGCTCCTGGCTTTGCCATTGTGGCCATCTGGGGGTGAAACAGTGGATGGAAGATCTCTCTCTGTCACTGTTGCTCGTACTCTCTCTGTAACTCTTCCAAATAAATAAATATTTTTGTAACAAAATTCTTTAACTTGGAATTGTATGTGTTTACCCAAGTAATGAACTTCCCCTTATGTTTTGCGGCAGGAAGAAGCACTACATGGTTTTCGAGTGAGTGATTATTTTGAATATATGGAAGCTTTGGAACAAAACTACCGGCCAGTGTTGCTGAGAGAAATGCGGAACATTCGAGTGCTGAGCGTGTAGATCATGATTAACGCAGTTAATTTTATGTTTGATTTACTTTTAAAGGAAACTAGAGAACTTGGTTGTTTTCTGTGTCTAGAACAGCGTATTTATTTTTATACAGATAAATCAATACTGAGATATTTCAAATTTAGTAACTCAATTTGTGACAAATTCACTTTTGTAAGTTTTATTGTGTTGTAAGATTATTTAGATCTAGTTTATTGGTAGTTCTTATTTATGTATAGGAGTTAGTCCCCATCTACAACTACTTCTTTACCAGATGATTAAAATATTTTTCCCAGTGAGTTTGGAAAGTAGCAGCTATATTGTAAATGACTGACTGGCCAGAGAGAATCCATAGACACAAGGGAGAACATTTGTTTTCTCTTGCTTGTTCTAGCTGCACATCCAAAAGAAAATAGACAAAACCCTAACTGCTTGTTTTACATATGAAGGAGCAAATGGTATTTGTCATGGCAAGTAGCAGAAAAAACTACTTTCCTGAAACATAATTGTTTTTTTAGGAGTTGCTTTTGATACCTATATCAATTTATATTTTTTCATATGAAATGTAGTCTTTACATGCTTCATTTAAGAGATAAATTGGTTAGTTCCTATTGATAAGCATTCTGTTCTTAGTTGTTATGCATTTTCCTTTGTGATAGATTTGATTTGTACTGAACTTGAAAACATTAAGAATGGATTTCTAAATTATTTTAAATGAGTAACACTGTTTCATTTTATTTAAATAGAAGTTTCTGTGCCAGTAACATTACTATAATACATGAAAGTCTATTTTATTATATCACAATGTCACATTGAATATAAGAAAGAAAATTACAAATATATTAAATTATTTTTTTCAATCTTCAACTAATTTTAACTTTTTTTTTTTAAATTGTAGAGGCTGTTCAATGTTCTTGACTTGTATTTGAATGTAGATTGTATATCTCTTGTCCAAAATACTTGTGACCAGAAGAGTTTCAAATCTGGGATTTGTTAACAATTTGAGAATTTTTGCATATAATAAAAAAATGCATTGGTGATAGTCACCAAGTTTAGACATGAAATTCATTTATGGTTTTATGGCTACATTATAAACATATCCTGAAGAAAATATTGTATTTTTAGTGAACTTATGTTTTGACTATGACTTGTCACCCCAAGTCAGGTACAGATTTTTCCACTCATGGCATCATGTTGTTGCACAAAAAGGTTTATATTTTGGAGAGTTTTGGATTAGGGATATTCAATCAGTATATACCAAATATTAAAACCACTTACAAGCTAGCATGCTGTTTTCCTTTTATAACCAAAATTGGAAAACCTACAAATTTAATTTTCCTTTTTGCATGATAAAATAATTTGTACTGTACACTTTTTAATTTTGTGATATTTAGGTTATTGCAATATCCACCATCCAAAATTGAGGTTGGGTTCTAGTCCCGGTAGGGCCGCCGGATTCTGTCCTGGTTGCTCCTCTTCCAGGCCAGCTCTCTGCTGTGGCCCGGGAGTGCAGTGGAGGATGGCCCAAGTGCTTGGGCCCTGCACCCCATGGGAGACCAGGAGAAGCACCTGGCTCCTGCCTTCAGATCAGCGCAGCGCGCTGGCCGCAACGGCCATTGGAGGGTGAACCAACGGCAAAGGAAGACCTTTCTCTCTGTCTCTCTCTCTCACTGTCCACTCTGCCTGTCAAAAAAAAAATATTAAGGTTTCTGCTGTAAATACCTGTAACGGGTTGTCCAGTGATGTTCCTAAAGAACATTGTAAAGTTTTAAAATGTACATTGAATTAGCTAATTTGTCATATTGCACACTTTTTTAGCTCTGATTGATGTGAGATAAACTAGAGTCCTAGATGACCCAGAGCATTAAGCTTTGTCTACTATGAAACTGCATTTTAAAAATCTTCCACAGAATATGTAATACATGTTTACAGTTGCATTTCTTTCCATTCTCTTCCTGAGTTATTTCATTAACCCAAGAAACTTGTACTTTTATTTCTTTTCAAAAACTATCGCACAGTAATCTAAAATACAAATGGACAAGAAAAAAGTATAATTTAATGTTATGATTTTGATTGGAAACTGAGGTAAGATCTAGATTATAAAAATCACATTTTGATAAAAAGTGATTTCATTTAGCTGGAGCTGGAAGGCTTTCATTTTCTTTTGAAAAATAAGAAATATCATATGAACAATGAACTGGCAACTTGTGTCATTGGAGAAAATGTAAAATATAGTAGATAGCCTAGCTGCCATTATGAGGTTTTTTTTTAAGATTTATTTATAGGCTGGCGCTGTGGCTCACTAGGCTAATCCTCCACCTTGTGGCGCCAGCACACCGGGTTCTAGTCCCGGTCGGGGCACCGGATTTTGTCCCGGTTGCCCCTCTTCCAGGCCAGCTCTCTGCTGTGGCCCGGGAGTGCAGTGGAGGATGGCCCAAGTGCTTGGGCCCTGCACCCCATGGGAGACCAGGAAAAGCACCTGGCTCCTGCCATTGGATCAGCATGGTGCGCGGGCCGCAGTGCGGCAGCCACGGCGGCCATTGGAGGGTGAACCAATGGCAAATGGAAGACCTTTCTCTCTGTCTCTCTCTCTCACTGTCTACTCTGCCTGTAAAAAAAAAAAAAAAGATTTATTTTTATATTTGAAAGAGAGAGACAATGACACCTTCCAGCATTCACTGAGTCTCTCCCCAAATGACCACAGCTGCCAGACTCTTAGGAGTTATGAGAAAGAAGGTGGGGAGATGGGGGGTATCTTTCATTTGCTAATTTCTCTCCTCAAATGGTGGCAACTACCAGACTTAAAATTATTATTGTACTTCCGTTTATTTTAAGAGTATCTTTCAGGGGCTGGCATTTGGCACAGTAGTTAAGCCACTATTTGGAACAACCACATCCCATATAAGATTGCTTTAAGTTTCAGTACCGGTTACACTCCAGATTCCAGCTTCCTGTTAATGCATACCCTGAGAGGCAACATGAGATAGTTCCCTTGGTTGTAGCCCTGCCACCCACATGAGAGACCTGGATGGAATTTCCAATTCCACCTTCAGCCTAACTCAGGCCACTAAAGATATTTAGGGAGGGAAGCAGAGGATAAGATTTGCCTGTTTTTCTCTCAGATTAAAAGGAAAGGAAGAAAAGAGTATCCTTTTAAAAAAGTATACTTGTCTTGCCCTTTGCTATTGTGTAAAGTCTCAGTCCTTAAAGCATATTTTTTTCTGATTTGTGAAGTTGTATCTCATCTATTGTTAAAGATTCACTTTTATTAAATTATATGTTTTGATGCAATGTGAACACATTTGTGGAAAACTTAAGTACTCACATAAAAATCTTTGAACATTTGCTTTCAAAATTTTATGTTTGCTGTTATACCTCCTTATGACTTACAGGTATCTAAAGTTTCTGTGAAGATGAAATAAGTCTCAAGAATTCATCCAAACCTCGTAACAAGGTTCTGCCTAAATTTATAATTGGTAAACAACGGTATGATGTACTTTGACTTTCCTGTTTGCAAAGGTTAAAGAAATTTATTTGCTCATTCATTACACAGACGTATTTTAAGGGCTACACGTATTAGTATAACAGAATATTTTTAATATTCAAGAAAAATGAGATTCAATATCTCTCAAAGAGTCTATAGTTTTCTTGGGAAATGAATAATTTAAAACTGGAAGTACAGTGATAAATAAGTAAGAGTTTATCTCCAGATTTGGTTTTTTTCATGGAAGCAAGAGTGAGACAAAAATATGATTGGATTAGAGTTATTTATTTGAAAGACAGAGTTACACAGAAAGGTAGAGACACAGAGAGGTCTTCCATCCCTGGTTCAATCCCCAGATGGTCGCAATGGCTGCTGCGCCAATCCGAAGCCAGGAGCCAGGAGATTCTTCCAGGTCTCCCACGTGGGTGCAGGGCCATCTTCTACTGCTTTTCCAGGCTGTAGCAGAGAGCTGAATCAGAAGAGGAGAGCTGGGACTAGAAACAGCACCCATATAGGATGCCAGCGCTTCAGACCAGAGCTTTAACCCACTGCACCACAGTGCTGGCCCCCATGAGATGAATTTAGCAAAGTTGTATCTCTTTCTCCATCAATTTTCACTGTGCAAAGTGTAGGTAATGAATTGTGGTTAACCAGGATTTTGGTTTAACCAAAAGAATACTAATGTGATTTTACATGTTCAGGAAAGTGACCTACTCTGTGGCTCACTAGGCTAATCCTCCGTCTGTGGTGCCAGCACCCCAGGTTCTGGTTCCGCTTGGGGTGCCGGATTCTGTCCTGGTTGTTCCTCTTCCAGTCCAGCTCTCTGCTGTGGCCCAGGAAGGCAGTGGAGGATGGCCCAAGTGCTTGGGCCCTGCACCCGCATGGGAGACCAGGAGGAAGCACCTCGCTCCTGGCTTCACATCGGTGCAGCACACGGGCCTTAGAGGCCATTTGGGGGGTGATCCAATGGAAGGAAGACCTCTCTCTCTCTCTCTCTCTCCCCCCTCTCCCTCTCTCTCTCTCATTGTCTAACTCTGCCTGTCAAAAAAAAAAAAAAGTTCAGGAAAGTTGGATTTAAAAGATGTTTATTTTGGTGCAAAGCAATTTTGAAAGCCATGCTGTAGTTTTGTGGTTTGTTGTGTTGTTTTAAAGGTTTATTTATTTATTTGAAAGGCAGAGTTACAGAGAGGCAGAGAGAGAGAGGTCTTCCGTCCACTGTTGCACTCCCCAAATGGCCACAATGGCCGGAGCTGGGCCGATCCAAAGCCAGGAGCCTGGAGCTTATTCTGGGTCTCCCATGTGTGTGCAGGGGCCCAAGGACTTGGGCTATCTTCCTCTGCTTTCCTAGGTACATTAGCAGGGAGCTGGATCAGAAGTGGAGCAGCTGGGACTCCAGCTGGCTCCAGTGGGTGCCCATATGAGATGCTGGCACTGCAAGCGGCAGCTTTATCCACTATGCCACAGCACCGGCCCCACCATGGACATTTTGAAGACATTTCGTGTTGAATAAGCAAGTTGCAAAATTGTTGATAGTATATGAATACTATACTATATCATAGTATATATATGTAGATATATATATCTACTGTTCGGGGCGGAGCAGACTGTATGCATAATATACTATACTCTATAATACTGAGACAGTGGTATTTAAGCTAGTTCAGAAGGGAAGTGGACACAAGAAGATGAATTGTTGATAGGATTAGTTGGTTGTATATTCTTCTGTATTGAAGAATTGTTAGATTTGGAGTACTCAAGAGGAGAAGGTGAAAACAACAATTAGACCTGACAATGGTTGAGTGAAGTGATTAAAATTGAGATGTTAGAAGGTAGTGACCATGGAAATGAATATCCTAGAGGAGAGCAAAGGATGAGATTACTGAAGAAATGAAAGTTTAAGGAGCCAGTGTTCCAGAATTTCGTAACGATCATCTATCTGGATATTGAAGTTGCCAAATATTGCCAAGGAATTAATTGTTTTGGATTAAAGTGAACCAAAAACTAAAATCCGTCAAGAATTAGTACAAAAAATCAAAACTTATCAAGAAGAAATCCAAGATGTGAAAAATGGAATTCAAAGGCAATGGTACACATCATTATTTTAACATAATATCTAAATTATAAGTAAAAATATACATAATTTTGATTCCTTTGCTTGGGCAAACATTTTTTATGCTCAAAAGGCACAAACCATAAAAGGAAAAATTGATACATTTTTATAGACTTCTTGTCCACTCTTTGTTTCCAAACTTTTAGGAACTCCTGGCCCTGTATGTTGAGTCATTTGATAGTTTCCTTTAAATCTCCAGCACTGTCTTTTAAGTTTTTTTTTTTGTTTGTTTGTTTTTTTTTTTTTTTTTTTGGTCTGACTGAAGGATTGCCAAAGTTTTGTCTTCTAGCTCAGATGTTCTGCCTCACAAGGTCTGTTAAGGCTTTCTTCCACACTTTTTATTTGATGTATCAAATTCATCATTTTGATTTATCGTTAAAATCTTAATTTCATGGGAACATTTTTCATTCATGTCATGTATGGTTTTCTTTAGTTTTGGATTTGCATCTGGTTGCTTTTGAGTAATCCCA